CAGCCACCGCCACCGAAGGACACCCACGCCCGCCGGGGCCGGACCACCTCAAATCCATACACTTTGAACTTGGCGTTGTTGGTAGAGAAGATCCAAGAGAGAGAGAGAGATTGAAGTTTCAAGTCAAGAGGCATGTGGGAGTGTGACACCATTTATGTTATGACTTATGAGTATCATCATCAATGTATTTATAGTTAGAAACTTCAAATATTCACACCTAATTTAATAATTGTTTATTTTTTTAAGGAAAAAAAATGTATTTTTCTCTTACAGTGACCTTAATTCGAAGACTAACCAATCAAGAGACAAGCAAAAATCATACTTCCTTGTTAACTAGCGGCATCATACCACTAAATATTTTTTTACAACTGTTTATATTTTGGAAAAATAATATATAAAAAAAATAAGAAAAACTAAAAATCTATCTTAAATTTAACCCCCTTTACACTAAAAATATTCTAATAGACCATTTTATGTCTAATATAATAGATTTTTTTTGTTGTTACTCCATTTAATTTAACATTTATGTCGAGACACACGTTAATTACTACTAAGCTAAGTTCATGTTGACAATAATGCAATGTATTTAAAGATCATGTGTGGTTGTCCATCTTTATCGAACCATTAAAATTTAAGAATTTTTTTCTAATAATCTATTTGCTCATATTCATTGTTTAAGGGTTAAATTTGCCCTAGACTAAAAATTCAGATTAGTCAAAATTAATATTCCAGACTAATCATCAACTTAATCCAACCTCTTTATTTTATATTCTTCAGTCTTATGTTTCCCTTTCCGTCTAATATTTAGAAGTTAGACATCTCAAGTTCGTACTTTACTCTTCCCCTGAAATCTTATTTGAGATAAAATGAGGGAGGAAAAAAGTATTTAAAAAGTTGTAATATCGACCACAAAATTTTATGTAATTATATGTAATTATGATTATTATTTTCCACGAAAGTTTAAAAAAATATATAATAAAGAGCACTTTTTTTAATAATGCATTAAAAAAGTAATAAAATAGGTATCACTCTTCTACTCCTAATCGTTTTCCTAATAACCACTGAATATTAACTGAAATCATGCAATCCTATTATGAATTCTGCCGTTTCTTTCATCGCCCCCCTTTCTTAATGGATGGATTCCACGTGTCACTTTTTGATTGCTTTTGTTACAAAAGCCGAGAAATGCAGGCTTTTTATCTGAATTCTCTTTCTCAAAAAAAGAAAAACAATAATATGGGCATTTGTCTATCAAAATTATTCCAACTAATAACATCCAACCAATATTAATGTGAGAGAGAGAGGCAGGCCATTTATTTATTTTCCTCTTTCTTAAAAATAAAAATAAAAAATGCACAAATTATTCCCAACTAATAACATCACATCAAAATTGAAACATGAACTTAACTCAACGGTAATTAATATCTGTCTCTAATCAAGAGATCATAAATTCGAATCCTACTGAGAAAAGCATCCCACAAAAAATACATGGGGTGGGGAGATTTAAGAAAATCAGTAACCAACAATGGAGGAAACAACCTGCAAGAGAGACTAGAGAAAGCCATTATCAATTTTTCTGAACTGTAGGAAATATATATACCATACCAACCAGATAAAACAAACAAGGCTATTAAAATTAAATAGTTCCAAAGCTTTTCTTAAGATTAGTTTTGATGTCAAACACATTATGCCAAGGAAATTATACAAAACTTACCAGGGAAATTCTCTTGCTGGGCTGCGGCTTCGAATTTTAGACCTGACAAATCGACCTTAAGTTGTTGTACATCTCCGAACCTGCGTAAGAGAACTCAGACAATGCCCTGAAGAGTTCTGGCAACTGATTCTTAAGGCTCACCAGTGATTTCTCCCTCACATGAAGGCACTGCTTCGCGTGAGTTTCCTTTTCCTCCTCCAATCTCTTCTTCAACGACTCTACCACAATTAGCTTCTCTGTAACTACGGCATCCTGCGCGTTTTCTTCAGACTTCTCGGGGTCCAACTCATCAGGAATTCTTCGTTGCTGGTATTTGTAATGCCAGTCGTCAAAATGCCTCTGCCTGCGGTCGAGCTCTTTCTCGGTCTCGTCGCATCTTAACTTTAGCTTCATCTCTTCTTCCTGCTGCAGCATAATAGTATTTATCACGGCACCGAAACTGGAAATTGCTGTTCTAAGATGCTCATCTGGGAGTTTCTCGAGTTGGTCGTGCCAAACAATGAGGAGTCTCTGAATAGGAGGATTTTGAGCTCTTGGTGGAGAAGACACCTTCTCTTTCAGGCTACTCTCTATAGGAATCAAATTTAGTTTCAACCAACTGTTTAGTGCTTTAATGTAGTCTTTCTGACGTTGCACGAGCTTCTCGAACTGTGAATGCCATTCTCTCACGACATTGCACAGCTGTAACGTGCGCTCATGGTGGTGCAGACTAGTTTCTTTTGGGGACTGAGAGAGATCCAGGTATCTCAATGCATTCACAATCTTCAATTGCTCTTCATGGTGAATTCGCATCGCAGCCCACATCATCGTCATCCTGCATCACATCAAAAATTATTTGTGGTGCTAACATATAAACCTCCTTTGCAGTGGCAAAAGCATGGTGGCAACCTCAGATAAAGAATACGCACAATAAGATTTGGGAATCAATAAAATTAGATATTTGACATGTCAAGTTAACCAAAATCTACTTGAACCACTTTGAGAATAACCCCACCAGTCAATCTCTAACTATTACAAACAAAGGTTCATCACATTGTTCACGGATCAAAAGCTCTCAAGTGCTTAATTAATATAGTCCCCAATCTTTACCAGTGCGCCTATATCAATCTAAGCAATTCTCTATCATATGGTCAATATCACAATCGGTATCTTAAGGAGCAGTATCAATATATCCGATAAGTTCATGTTGACATACTCGACGAGAATACTAGATCGCCACAATTCCAGACAGAAACAGTGTTCCCAAAACAACCAGAGATTGGCAGCATGCCTAGGCCTTGCATCAGGGAAAGTTTTGTTTGGTGGGTTTTTAGGAAATATGAGTCATTAAAAAGAGTTTACAAGCCTGCCAGAGATTAATAAACTTAAGCAGACCAGAAAGATATTCATAGTTATTCAATAAAAACAGTATCTGGCATAGTCAAATTCTCTCCATTTGTCATGCCACTAGATCTTAATTAGCATTAGAGAAAGAATTTTGACTTAATTGTAGACAAATGGAGAAGTGACATCTAGATCAAGAATTTTTTCCATGATATATGTTATGTCATTTGGTACCACCACCTCTGAGTTATCAGCATCACGTGCCAAAATGAGAATGCAAGTAAAATATGTATTTATTGTATGTCTCATACAACATACCCATGAACAAGCTGAACGAGTTTTGGGTATAACTGTTCGTCTCGTAAACGATTAATCTCCGAGACAGTTGAATCCAAGGATTGCATGTCAACAATGTATCTTGTATGCAAGTGACTTACGGCTGCTTTTGCTTTCTCCAACGCTTCTGAACTAGAACCTCGTTTCTTTAGCCTATTCAGTGCAGCAACCTTTCTTTGGTACTCGAATTTCATAATTTCACCTGCCTATTGAATAATAATTATCACAAATAAAATTCAGTTCATAGAGAGAGATATGTCCTTATTAGCATCACAATGAAGATGTGTTCCATCATAGACATAGACACAAATGAAAATAATCTCCATTGACAACAATAATTAGAAAGATCACACTTGAATGTACCTTCACTTCATCAAATAACTTCTTTTCCCATGCCAGGAGTTTATCTAGCACAGTGGCATGAGTTTCTTGATCTTCTGCATAGAAATCATCTTTTCCATTATCCATATTAGAAAGTCCTCTAAATGACCGGTTCCATGTAATAACACGCATCACTCTAGCAGAATGATCAATGTGCCCTGATAGGAAAACAGCAAAAGGCAGTGAGTTCTTCAGTAATATGAACAATAAATAAAAACAAACCCCACAATATCTTAAAAGGGAACAAATGTGAGGGTGGAGTTTCTTTCCATTCCTCGCGTTCACTTCGGGCAAAAATACTGCTATCTAACTGAATGACTCTCTACACACATTAGCCTTCTAAATATTCCCCTCCCCTTAAACTAACAGCCATAATGTCAAACTCGCCCTGCGAAAAAACACTTCCCTCACTCCTAACATAAACAAGTTTACTCCACAAGCTTAGCTTGTTCTCCTCATAGAACATGTAAATTGGACCAAAGGTCGTGCATTCCTAGAACTGAAAGCAATATTGAGTGAACCCCAAGTTCGACAACAATTTAAACAGAGAAAAAGTATAAATAGCTTATGTGCAATTAATGTTGCAATATTGTTCAACTAGACCTTCAAAATGCTTGAAAGTTAAAAGGCAAGAGATCTTGATTACCTCGACCATCAGCGAAATTTGAGTGATAATGCAGTCGTGTCGCCTCAAGCATCTTGGACACTTCATGGGCACTCTCAGAAGCCTTGAGAAAATGATCGTCAAGATTCACAAATATCTGCAACAGATTAAATTTGGCCTCATTCATCCGTCTGCCCTCCATGGAACCCACAGCCCCCACCTTCTTCAAGCTCTTCGATGTGGAAGCTGATGGCTCTGCAACAACAGGCGGTGGTGGCTCCACCACCTCGGCTTCTTTGTGCCCTCTTCGGTCCTCCATTTCATCGTTGTCCCCTCTTTGGGGACTTTTATCAAACGGTTCGCGCTCAATGTCTTCCTCATCGATATTGACCTCCTCAGCCTCACTCAAAGTCGGACCAGGCATACTGTCAACAGCAAAGAAGTAATCGTACGTCGAGTTCTGTTGCTGTGCTGGCGGCAGGTGCCGGTTCACATTCAACGGCGGCGTGCTAGACGGCGGAGGCGGCACTGGCGGCGGCGGACCCTCCAAGTCTTCATCAAGCTCTGTATTCCCTATTCGGCTGCTCCCACCGCCACCGCTACCTTTTTTGCTTCTCCTCCTCCTCAACGCACCAACAGAACCCTCGTTGTCTGTTTCATTCTCATCCTCTTCCTCGATGATTGGCCCAACCGGCTTCAGATCGGACTTGAGGATATTCATCTCCGGCATGCTAGCAGCCCTATGAAGAGGAGAGGGAAAATTCGGGAGAGGCGGCGGCGGCGGCGCAAGGGGCTCATAAGACGCTGCAGCAGAATCAATTATCGGGTTCGATTGAGCAGTCCCGTCAACCAATTGAGGATTCTGGACCTCCCCATGCGCATAATCGCTCAAAGAAGATCCAGTGTTCTTAACGGACATGACATAGGCGGAATGAGCAGCAGCAAAAGCATTTCGCGCCGCGACCGCATCTTTCATGTGAATCTTCCGTTCTTTGCATCGCGCAATCGCCTCTTCGTTCTCGATCTTCGACTGGGAGCAACCCATCAGAGCTCCGCCGCTAGCAGTGACGCCGGCGGTCCGGTAGATCAGAAATGAAGCATGAAAAGAACTACTTTTCTTGCTACAGCTCACTCCTCCGGACTAGCATTACAGAAGAATCAACGAGGAAGAAGGAAAAATCATCGATTTGCTACGATTTGGCAAAAGGGGGGAAAGGGAATATGCTTTCTCGTCGGAAGAAATGGCGGAGAGAGCTTTGTGCGGTGATATAAAGTGGCTTTTGGACAGTGAGCTGATAACACATCGCTAATCTGACGCGATTGTTCATTGGTGGCCCCGCTTTTCAACGTTCTACGCAGCTTTTTCGAAGGATTTTGCCATAAATTTGTTATTCTTTTCAGATAAACAAATATTAAATTACATCTGCGGTCGTATGTTTTGAGAACATTTTTTTTTGGAGTGGATTTTGTTAGTGGCTATCACTCCCATCGCTATTAAAGCTTACGTCTTTTAAAACCAAAAAAAAAAAAAAAAATCCTACTTTAATTGTAACTTTGCTTAGTAACAAATAATTTGATATTTAGTTTTATATTTCTAAAAATATCTCCACACTTTACAAGTACTTTTGTGCTTTTTCACATAGCATTTAATGTGACTGTCGGTGATGTTTTGACTTTATTTTACTACCAAACGTGATAAATTGGGGTGGAAATACTTTTTGAATGTGCATGTAATTTTAAAATAAGTACTTCTAACTATAACCATTTAGTACAAAGTATTCAAGAACAAATTATTTTAACGTGCAATTCCACCCGTTTAAATATTTCTCAATTTAGCATATAGTATTTCAATTTTGTCAAAACATTTCGCATTAAAAAATTTTTGTTGTGATAATAACACTGCCAAAAGTTCTTTTAAATGGGTCAAATGTAGTTCCAAATAGTCTAAATGTCTAAGAAATATTATTCAATATTTGCATAAAATGACAGCTAGAAATAAGTTGTATTTGTGATGGTCAAAAGGGTTGGGAAATATGTTGAATTTATTGAACTATCACATAATATCACCTCTTGTATTTGCTCTTATAAAGTGTTATAATATTAACAAGTCAAGACGAATGATATAAACATGACTCAAAAATCGGAAACAACAAACAAAACCGTTTAAAATTATATTATATATATAAAATAAAAACATAAGCTAAGTAGGTAGATAAAATCTTCAAATTAGATCAACAAAATTTGTGATATAAACCAATAACAAAGGTTACTGTGTTAATTTACAATTAAAAAAAAATCGAAACCAAATAGAAAGTTAGAATATAAAATTGGGAACGAGGACAGCATTCTCTTGTCAAGAACAAAATTTCTTCCCATTTTCTCACGCAAACATTAAATAATATAATAGTCTACCAAAAGCACCCAATCACATTGACAAGAAAATGGAAGAGATGATTCTCGCCGTCGAGAAAATCAGGTCTTAACAAATCTCTGCAGGCTCAAGCTCCGAGGGAGGAGGCCGCCGTAATGCAGCAGTGTCGTGGCGAGCGGTTGGGCCGCTATAGCCATAACCAGTCGCAGCAGCTGGGATCAGAGCATCAACGGCTGCAAAATCAAACAAAAAAAACAGAAGTAAAGTTTGGGGGAGCTATTAGGATTCGTTAGTAACGATCTTGTTTCTGTTTCTTCATTTTTAATAAAGAAAAATAAATTGTATAATTCAAACATGGATTCAAATATGATAAAATCATATTTTTATTTATGTTGAAGAATAAATTTGAAAATGATAACAAGAAATGAGAAAGTTGTTTTAGTTGTTTCCAAAATTTATATGCAATTTTGAGAATGTTATAAAAAAAAGGTGAAACAATAAACATGATTAGTTGTAAAATGTCTAGATTTCTCAAGAAAATTGAAAACGAGAAACGGGAACGTTACCAAACGAAGCCTTATTTGTTGAGTACAAAGCTTTGGACTGAGAAACCAAGGAGAATAATAGTAATAATATCTTAGGAAATCTCGAACAGGCAACAGGGCCATTCTCACAATATATAGACCATACAGTCATAGACACAGAAACCCACCATCTTTTGGACACGTCAGATAGATATCCTAAATTCAAATTATGTAGAAATTAAGATCGAAGATAGTAATGTAGACAAAGACACATGTCAGCATATGATAATCACAAGTTCCATAGGCAAAACATGAAAATTCCATAGGTTTTGGTTTGAAGTAAGAATAAATAAAAAATAATAATTGCAAAGGAGAATAGACAATAACTTACAAGGATGTTTTCTGGATTCAAATCTAGACCCGACAAATAGACTTCAAGTTCTGGTACATCTCTGAACTAGCAAAAGAGAACTGTGACAATGCCCTGAAGAGTTCTGGCAACTGATTCTTAAGGCTTACCAATGACTTCTCCCTCACGTGAAGGCATTGCCTTGCATGAATTTTCTTTTCCTCCTCCAATATCGTTTTCAACTTCTCTACCACAATTGTTTTCTCGGGGTCCATCCCATCAGGCATTCTTCGTTGCTGGTATTTGCAATGCCTCTCCTTGCGCTCGAGCTCTTTCGCAGTCTCCTCCCACTTTATCCTCAATTCCATCTCTTTTTCCTGCATCAGCCGAATATTATTAATAACAGCACGAAAAGTGCATATGGAAGTTCTGAGATGCTCATCCGGGAGTCTCTTGAGTTGGTCGTGCCAAGCAAGGAGGAGTCTCTGAATTGGGGGAATTTGAACCCTTGGTGGAGAAGAAACCTTCTCTTTCAAGCTACTCTCTATGGGAACTAGATTCAGTTTCAACCAGCTGCTTAAACCTTCAATGTAGTCTTTTTGACGGCGCACAAGCTTTTCAAACTGTGAATGCCACTCTCCCACGATATCACAGAGCTGCAGCGTGCGCTCATAATCAAGGCCACTAGTTTCTTTTGGGAATTGAGAGGGATTCACCGATCTCAGTATATTTACAATCTTCAATTGCCCTTCATGGTGAACTCGCATTGTTTCCCACATTGTTGCCATCCTGCAGGACAACAGAAATTATTTCTGGTTTCGCTAAAACATGGTGGCGACAATCTTAAAAACAGAGCATAATATGTTCTAGGATCTCAAGCGAGATACTAAAAGATGTCACATGTCAGATAAACTTATGTTCGACAAACATAAAAAATATCCACGAGTCATTATTACCAATAATAAAGGTGACTATAATGTACAAAAAAACAAAAAAAGAATGGTCATATGCATATACATATAACTATCTCATGCAACTCACCCATTAATGAGGTGAACAAGTTTTGGGTATAACTGTTTGTCTCGTAGATGATTAATCTTTGAGATAATTGAACCCAAGGATTCCATGTGAACAGCATATCTATTTTCCAGACGTCTTACTGCTTCTGTTACTTTATCCGATGCTTCTGCATTAGAATCTCGTTTCTGTAGTCTATTCAATGTAGCAATCTTATTTTGGTACTCCAATTTCATGAGTTTACCTGCCTTTCAAGTGCAATTATCACAAATGAAATTCAGTTAAATTAAAAAAGAGTTCCTCCTTCATGCCACATTGTAGATCTACCTCCATCATAGAAACACAAATTTCTTTCGGTAAGATCATCAAGTATCAAACAAAACAACTGTAAACCTCAACATAAATGGTGCCTGCCTAGCCTATTTTCCATCTCTTCATAGTTCATAGAGGACATGGTTGTGGCCTCAAGGCCCCACGGATCAGAAAGGACAGTGATGGAAGCCCGCAGCAAGAAGCAATTTACTTGGAAAATAAATTCAAGAAAATCTCCAAACACTCAATATCATAATATTCTGATCATTATATGACCAAAAATGGAGCTAATATCTTAGATCAGCTGAGAAGCTTTATATCTAGACTCAAGAGAGTAACAATCATGCGTGCAAAACTCTAGGCAGTTACAACTTACAAGTCGGTATATTTCTAGAATCATTTCTCATTTAATTTATTAAAAGAAAATCTTCTAACTTTACACATAATTGAGGTTCAAAATCATATGACAGTGAGAGATTTGACCTCACAAATCTAGAAAGAACTTCCATCATCATCAGGAGTTAGGCATCGAGTATTGAAATTATACCATATCACGTCAACGATTATTTGCGAAAATGAAGAACCAAAAGAGATTGCTTAAATATTAAGAAAGGAAGAATACTGTTCCATCATCCATGTACCTTCACTTCATCATAGAGCTTTGTCTCCCATGCTAGTAGTTTGTCTACCACGGTGGCATGAGTTTCTTGCTCTTCTGCAATATCTTTTCCATCATACATATTAGCCAAAGCTCTAAGTGATCGGTTCCATGTAATAACACGCATCACTCTGGCAGAGTTGTCGATGTGACCTGAAGAAAAGGGCAAGATCCATACCTCGGTTATCAGCAAAATTGGAGTGATAGTGTAATCGTGTGGCCTCAAGCATCTTGGACACTTCATGGGCACTCTCTGAAGACTTGAGAAAATGATCATCAAGATCCAAAAATATCTGCAACAGATTAATATTTGCCTTAAATATCTTCTTCCCCTCCGAGGAACCAGAAGATCCCGCCAGTTTCACCGTCTTCGAGCTCTTCACCGCGGCTGCGGGTTCTGCCACTGCAGGGGGGGCTGGCGGCGGCTCCACCAGCTTCTCGACCACTGGTTTCACTGTCTCAGCTTTTCCACTCATTCTGCGCCCCTCAATATCTTCACTGTCCACTCCCTTGGACTTTTTATCAAACGGCTTGTGCAAAATCTCCTCTTTGTTAACGTGTACCTCCTCGACTTCGCCCAAAGTCGAGAGGAGGACGTTATCAACAGAGAAGAAATAGTCGAAAGTTGAATTATGTTGCTGCGGTGGTGGAATATGCCGGGTCACCTTAATAGGCGGCACTGGCGGCGATGTACCCGCCAAATTTTCATTGAGCTCCGACTTTCTAATTCGGCTACTCCCTYCATCGCCGTTACTTTTATTGCTTCTCCTCCTCCTCAACGCACCAACAGAAGCTTCGTTTTCATTCTCCTCCTCTTCCTCCATAATAGGCGATCCTGGATTTAGATCGGGCTTGTACATATTCATCTCTGGCACGGTCGCAGCCCTTTGAAGAGGACTAGAAAAATTAGGAAGAGGCGGCGGCGGAAAGGATTTAAAAGAGATGGCAGCGGCGGCGGCAGAAGCAATATCACAGTTTGGTTTGGTAGCCCCAGTGCCGAATTGTGGATTTTGAATCTCGCCATGGGCATAATCGCTTAAAGCAGCTCCAGTGTTTTTAAGTGACTTCGAATAGGCGGAGTGAGCGGCGGCGAAACGGTTGCGCGCCGTCACCGCTACGTTCATAAGAATCCTGCGTTCATTACAACGCAAAATCGATTCTCCATTATCGATCATCGACGGCGAACAACCCATTGACCTTTGCTTCTGCTACACGGCGGGGATGGCGGTGGGCGGAATTCGGCTCGAGCATGAAGGATTTGAGATTCAATTCAGAGAGAAGCTGCAGATTTTAGGGAAAACCGGAGTTCGGTTTCGGAAGTGATTTGAAAATTTTCCTGGTGGAAAATTCTGCTCATTCGAGGACTCTTGCTCCAACCGAACGTTCCAACAGCGCCGCGCCTGTCTTTCATTTTCAAACGATTTCCTTATAAATACATGGGACCTCTTTTTCAGCATGTTTTGTTGTTATTATTTTTTCTTTCAAAAATAGAAATTTCCATTCGATCTAAACTATAAAGGCTAAATTTTACTTTCAGAATATAAATTCGTAAGAAAATGTGTCAATCATGTATGTTTTAAAATTTTATTTTTGTTATTTTTAATTGAACATGATTTAAGAAGAAAAGATAATATTGATCATTATGAAAATTTGATCTGTGATTTGAGAAATTAAACGCATGTTAATTGGTAAGATTCTTGTTTATTATTTTTACTTTTCGTTTTTAATTTTTTTAGAAACATAAATATTTTGTAACTATTTTTTAAATTGTAAACAAAAAATTTAAAGATAGCAAAATTAAATTTTTATTTTTTATAACATATAAATAAAAATATTATTTTATTATTTTTTACTTATAAGATGCCTAACAAATATTAAAAAGTAAATATAAGATTAAAAATTTTGAAATTTAAATTTAAATTTTTTATTTTCATAAAAAAAATAGGTTTCTTAATTTAAAATTTGAGGAAACCAAATCCAAAAAATTATTATCAAATATGTTTTTTTCCTTTTTCAATAAAAAAATAAACAATTATGAAGTGTTGTTATATTTTTATTTTTCTTAACATACCCTAAAAATATTATTTTTTATATTATATTTATTCAAAATCTTTTTTAAAAAATGTTAAATATATTTTCTTAAAACGTGAAATTTGACCAAAAAAAAAAGTAGCTTTTTATGCTTTATTTCCTAGTAAGTTCTATTCCACTTTTCCAAAATACATTAAAACGAAGTCCTCAAGCTTTACTTTTCATTTTCAGTGGGCAAGATTTGTGAGATCCTCTTGCTAGTTTGAAATTTATTTAACCAATTATATTTTTAATACCTAAATTTTATTTCAGGTACTTTTCACATGTCGAGTAAAAAACATCCTCGAACATACTAAATTTGTGCCGAAAACCCCGAAAAGTGTTAAATTAATTCTAGCCAATTAGATTGATATTTTTATTTGAAATAATAGTTTGATGTGAAAAAGTCAAAAGTCAATTTAGAAAGATTCAAAACCATCAAGAAGAAGTAGTTGAGTGCATGAGATTATTTTAAAATACCACTGTAACCTTGAGATTTTTCCTATGGATTGAGATCTATAAAAATAGTAATTTTATATATGCAAAATCGATCCTTGAAAAGACACATTCCGCCATATTCTTAATAACTCTATAAATATTTTCAATCCTTAAATGGGGAACAGTATGATTAAGATTTTGGAGTTTAAAAAAAAGAAAAAACTTCAACAAACATATAGAATTAGAACTGAGATTGGGACTGTTTCTAGATATTTGGCTACAAAAGTAAGAAATTCCCATTCATGTGCTCTAATACCAAGCATTTTCTTGGTAAAGTTCTAACATTGCATCATAGTTTGGATGGAAAACTCACCAAAGTTCTCAAGGTAGGCTAATGAATTATGACTTCCACAGCTGATTTTCACTACCCTTCTTGAACTTAGGACTCTTTCCTATAATACTTTATCTGTCAAATTTCGACATCTTTTCCTCTTTCGTAATTGACGACATACGACGGGATGTTTGAGAGATTGATGTGGTTGCCTACACAATACAACTTTGATTTGTACTCTATGCTATCAATTTTTGTATCATCTATAGTGAAACCACAAGCAAAACATGAGATCGAGATTGAAACGTCGAAGATAGAGATACCTGTTGAATGTTTGTGTCAACTTCCTTCCTTACCCTTCAGGTAACTTAGGAAATGATAATCATTCACTACAATGTCAAAGTCATTGAGTGTGAAGTTATAGCGCTTTCCCAAAGCCAAGTACAGTATCTAAAGTTAAATAAAAAAAAAAGTAATTAGCAAGTTTACAGAGATATGTTGTAATGTAACCAGTGACCAAATAACCAAAGTAGCAACTCATACTAATGGTTTCTGTCGAAACAAGATAGATTTTATAGCATATTTTAAATTACAAATTTGGCATCTGAAATTTGAGGATCATATCTAATTAGCCCCTACACTGTAAAACGTTTTTAATGGGTCCTTAAACTTAAAATATTCAATCTAATAGAGTTCTAAATTTTAAAAATATATAATTAGTTTCTAAACTTTCACTTTCAATTTTGTCTTCCACGGGCCCTGAACTTTAAGAAATGTTATAAATCAAAAATCTATTAGACACAGGATTAAAAATTCAGATAAAGATCTATAGATAAAACCCTGAAACTTGATAATCCATTAAATACTTTTGTCAATGACCTATGGGCACAAATATTTAAAGTTCAAAAATTGTAATTTAATACCAAGCAAAAATGAAAAATGGCCGTTATTTTTTTTTTCTCAAGAATGAGAAGTACTTCTTTTGACCGATTTTTAGAAGCTTCAATTTATTTGGTTGTTTCATGGTGTAAATGTTCCACTATGTTTCATCACTATAGTTTTTCTTCCCTATTATACACTTGAAAATATTTTAAGTAATTCCCTTAGATAGGATTCCTCTCTTGTAATTTCATACCATCAATGAAATTATTTCTTAAAAAACAAATAAATAAATAAAATAATTATATATTTTCTATAGTTAGCATTTCATTCACAACTATTTATATGTGTTATTACCAATACAACATCTACCACTTTTTACATTTTTCAATGAAATATCTCTATTTAAACTTCTTGTCAACAAAAATGTTTAGACTACACACCATCAAACTCGTAAGTAACAAGGAATCTGTTGGGTATGCCAATAGGTTGAATTCTAATAATTATTCAGAATCGCTTATCTGTCAACTGTGATCATAAGTAAGAGAAAAATAGGATTGGAAACATAAGTAAGAGAAAAATAGGATTGGAAATTAATATCTTACATCATGAAGGTTGCAATTTAGTTCCAAGGAAAAACATGTAAATGATCTTGTTGAACAAAGATCAACCATAAGTAAGGCAGCAAATTACCTGACAACTCCATGATGCCTAATTAGCTCCAAGGATCAATTAGTGTTTTCATTTCGACCCCAATGATCTCCTCTCCACAAAGGAGGATTAAGGGGAAAATATGAAAGCATATAAGGCTCACATACATGTACATGTTTCATGTCCCTGGCCTAATATAATGCATTATTTTAAGTAAATGTTTATGCTTATCATTTGTCCTTTTATATAAGGTCAACGATCACTAATTCTTCCATATATGGGATGTGAGGCACATTTCATTATTTGTTTATAACCTAACCCATAAATTAAAAAGATGAAATAACGATTGCATGTGAATGCATACCTTTTCTGAACCTTGAGACATAAATTTTTCCAATATATTAAAAAATTCACCAGTCAAGTCATTATCGCTATAGATAATATGAAAGAATATGAAGGAGAAAATAAGAAAGAATATAAGGCTCACATACATGTCTATGTTTCAAGTTCCTTGCCTAATAATGCATTTCTATGTTTATCGTCTGTCCTTTTACATAAGGTCAACGATCAGCATTTTTTCCATATAAAAATAATGGGACGTGAGGCACCATTCATTATTTGTTTATAACCTAACTCATCAATTAAAAATATAAAATAATGCTTGCATGTGAATGCATACCTTTTCTGAACCTTGAGACAAACTTTTCCAAAATATTAAAAAATGCATCCGTCAAGTCATCGCTATAGATAACGTCAGCAGCTACAAGCAACGAGACTCCCTGTGCTTCTTCAACCTCTGATAAGGCCAGGAATACCTGGATGACAATGAAACCACAATCGAAACATCACTTGCTTCATATTTTACAAGTCCAGATATCGTAAAAGGTCTTATTCACAAAGCCTCCACCCACACTAGCAAGCCCAAGTTTGGTTGTGTAGTGTGTATTTGGCTTGCCTTTTAAAAAAATATTTTTAAGTGAAGTATACAAGTACTTTTGAAAGAAAATGAGTTAAATACTTGATCTGAAAGCACTTTAAATTTTTACCAGTCTTTAAAATTTTAACCAAAAATAATACATAATTTTTGAAAAAAAAAACTTTCAGACGTATGACCACTTTACTATCGATACCAAACACACTCAGTTGGGGAAAACATTGAACATCATCCAGGGTGTACACTGAACACTTTTCAAATAAAGTGAATCGCAAAACTCTAGTCACCTGTTATTTGGTGGGGCATTCACCTCGGGTTTGCTTAGGAGGCCAAGGTTCTGTCCAATCGAGTTCCCTTACATATTGCACTGCAACTCCAGCACTAAACCCTCCAGAATTAAGACCAATGTTTTTGGCACAGTTTTCAAGAACATGGTCACCTTTATCTGTCAATCATTAAGAACACATACTCGCTTCAGAAATATTTGCCAAATATTACAAGATTAAACCATTCAGTGAGTTATTTTCGTTTTTACTTTAAGAAAAAATGTGTGCACACTCACAAATTCATCAATCTATCAGAACCAGATCAAACTAATAAGAGAAATTCATCAAGTCCATGATTGTCAATTTGAAGATCTGCATCCATTTCCAAAATGGGAATACAAGGAATCACAAAAATCAAAATCAATGATGATTGCTATACCATTTAGAAATACTGTATTTTAGCAACCCGTGCAAGCAATATTCCCACCAGTCCTGGCAAGAGCAATAAGATAAGACCCTGTCATTGAAATAGTAATATAGTCAACAGTGGTTTTTCAAAAATCTGTTTCAGCTAAGGGTACAATAATACAAAAAGATGGTCAGAATCAGAACAATAACAAATGTGTGAAAATAAATACCAAGAAAGCATTTCGCTAAAACACCTGTTCCAGCTACAAGTTCTAAAGCAACAGTTCCATCAAGCTCAGATAAAGTTATCTTATGCAAAACAAAATCAGATAATGCCAGTTCTGCTTTCCACACCTGAAAGAGGAAAGATACTAACTCATATAACGAATGTAGCTAAAAAAGTTATATATATAAAATCAAAATTCATGAGAAACAATTACCTGCAAACCAACAATTGGGATCGTTGACATAATATTATGTTGGATATTCACAATATAACTACGAACTTAAGGTTCTACTTCTACATCTGTTTTCGATACAGAAATGTCACAACATCTCAGCAATTAAAAAGCTGATAGATACTAAGCGTTCAAACGCTCTTATTTCCAATTCATAAAGTTTTTAGGTATTTAACTTAATTTCCGTCTCTGTTAAAATTCAAACGCAATTACTCTTCATACAAAAATATGGCTATTCCTAGTATTGTTAAATCATTAAAACCTATATCTGTGTCAATAATCTTATCCGCCATTAATTTCGGAACTGAAATTATAGAAGTAATCGCCATTGGCAGAATCAAGCCTAGCTAATGGAACGGTCTATGGATCTCCATATCAAACATGGAAGAGATAAATTAAAGGAAACATGGAATTACGAACCGGAAGGAATGGAAATGGTGAAGTGTGAAATGTACGGCCCGGAGAGACCAGGTGGACAGGCAAGATGAACCTCGCTCATCACCAACTTCTCGTCCGAGACTCCGTCGTCCATGGAAGTCCTGTTCTTCGTCTCCGATGGCGGTGGTGACGATACGAATGTATGAAAAGCGCGCTAAATTTGCAGGAAAGAAGGAAATGCCATTGCCAAGGGTAAAAATTAAAATCTTCCTTTTAGGAAAAGAGGTGATAAAAACCGATTGGACCGAACAACCGAATCAAACAAATCAAATCCGACCGGTTTGGTTAGAAGGAAAAATATGTTTTTACAACAATTACATTTATAAATAAATCAAAATTGGGAAAAAATACTTTTTTTTTAATTTTTTAGTCTAAGATAAGATTCTTAAAATTTTCAAAATAAACACTTTTAATCAATGAAATTTATAGTTAATGTTTATTTAATCTCTGAAGTTTGAGAATTTTTAAATAGTCCCCGGACTATTTATAATAGACTAATATTAAAATTATATGGCATTTAAATTGATATTTTACTGATTTGATAAAATATATTAATTTAATATATATATATTTTTTTGAATGATTGGACTTTTTCTTTGTCAAATTATCTGCTTCCTTCCACTCTCTTCTTCTCCTTCCGCTTACCACTGGTTGCCGTTAGTCAGTCCCCACCGGTCGTTACCACCAGTTTCTGATGACCTATAATTCGACATTTAACACTCCACCAAACCTAGTTCTCATTCGTCTTCCCCCAAATGCCCCATCCTCCCAATTTTCTTTATTTACAAATCCGTCTCCAACAATTAATTTGTCCTTCGTTTTAGTAATCAGGATTCGATTAAACAAAAATATTTTCTTTATGGATTTGATTAAACAAAAATTACAAAAATGTCGCATAAAGCTGGAGTTGTTGTAAAATAAAATCACCATGGAATTAGGGTTAGATTTGGAGTGTTAAATGGAATTAGAGTTGGAGTTGGAGTTGAAGTAGTAGTAAAATAAAATTAATGTGATCATAAGAATGCCAAAAGTGCTTCTAAACGGGTCCAATGTACTTCCAAAATAGTCTAGATTCCTAGGAAATATTATTCAATATTTGCATAACTCAAAATCTAGAACTAAATTGTATTTGTGATGGTCAAAAAGGTCAGGAAATATGTAGAATTCATCAGACTGTCAAATCATACGACCTCTTTTACATTTACTCTTATAAAATGTCATATCACCGTTCTGTTATTAACAACCAAGACGAGAGATACAGACATAACTCAAAATCGAGGAGAACAGACAGAACAATTTAAAGTTAAAAAAAACATAAGCTAGGTAGATACAATCTTCAAATTAGATCAACAAAATTTGTAATTTGAACCAATGACAAAGGCTCTGTGTTAATTTATAAATAAATGAAAAAAATCAAAACCAAATAGAAAGTTAGAATATAAAATTGGGAACGAGGAAAAAGAATTCTCCTGTCAAGAACAAATTTTTTTCCCATTTTCTCACGCAAACATTAAATAATATTATAATCTACCAAAAGCACCGAATCACATTGACAAGAAAATGGAAGAGATGATTCTCGCTGTCAAGAAAATCAGGTCTAACAAATCTCTGGAGCCTCAAGCTCCGAGGGAGGAGGCCGCCGTAATGCAGCATCGTCGTGAAGGCGGCAAGCGGTTGCACCGCCATAGCCATAACCAGCCGCAGCAGCTGCGATCGAAGCATCGATGGCTGCAAAAACAAACCAAAAAGTACAGAAGCAAAGCTTGGTGGGGGGGAGTGCCAACTATTCTTTGTTGAAATATTACTAAACAGAAATAAAGTACAAAGCTTTGGACTGAGAAACCAAGGAGAATAATAGTAATATCTTAGGAAATGTCGAACAGGCAACAGGGCCATTCTCACAATATATAGACTATACAGTCATAGACACAGAAACCCACCATCTTTTGGACACGTCAGATAGATATCCTAAATTCAAATTATGTAGAAATTAAGATCGAAGATAGTATAATCACAAGTTCCATAGGCAAAACATGAAACTTCCATCGGTTTTGGTTTGAAAATTAAATTTAAAAAAAATAATTGCAAAGGAGATTATACAATAACTTACAAGGATGTTTTCTGGATTCAAATCTAGACCTCACAAATAGACTTCAAGATCTGGTACATCTCTGAACTAGCAAAAGAGAACTGTGACAATGCCCTGAAGAGTTCTGGCAACTGATTCTTAAGGCTTACCAATGACTTCTCCCTCACGTGAAGGCATTGCTTCGCATGAGTTTCCTTTTCCTCCTCCAATCTCTTTTTCAACGTCTCTACCATAATTAACTTCTCTGTAACTGCAGTGTCCTGAGCGTTCTCTTCAGACTTGTCAGGGTCCATCTCATCAGGCATTCTTCGTTGCTGGTATTTGTAATGCCAGTCACTGAAATGCCTCTCCTTGCGCTCGAGTTCTTTCGCAGTCTCCTCCCACTTTATCCTCAATTTCATCTCTTCATCTTGCTGCAGCACAATAGTATTAATAACAGCACCAAAAGTGAATATGGCAGTTCTGAGATGCTCGTCTGGGAGTCTCTCGAGTTGGTCATGCCAAGCAAGGAGGAGTTTTTGAATTGGAGGATTTTGAACCCTTGGTGGAGAAGAAAGCTTCTCTTTCAAGCTACTCTCTATAGGAACTAGATTCAGTTTCAACCAGCTGTTTAAGGCTTTAATGTAGTCTTTCTGACGACGCACAAGTTTTTCAAACTGTGAATGCCACTCTCCCACGACACCACAGAGCTGAACCGTGCGCTCATGATGATGCTCACTAGTTTCTTTTGGGAATTGAGAGGGATTCACCGATCTCAGTACATTTACAATCTTCAATTGCCCTTCATGGTGAACTCGCATTGTTTCCCACATTGTTGCCATCCTGCAGAACAACAAAAGTTATTTCTGGTTTTGCTACAACATGGTGGCGACAACCTTAAAAACAGAGCAGAATATGTTCTAGGATCTCAAGCAAGATACTAGAAGACGTCACATGTCAAATAAACTTATGTTCGACAAAGTTAATATCCATGAGTCATTATTACCAATAATAAAGGTGACAATAATGTTACAGGAAAAAAAAGAAAGAAAAACAATGGTCATATGCATATACATATTACTATCTCACGCAACTCACCCATTAACAAGCTGAACAAGTTTTGGGTATAACTGTTTGTCTCGGAGACGATTAATCTCTGAGATAGTTGAATCCAAGGATTGCATGTCAACAATATATCTAGTGTGCAGATGACTTACTGCTGCTTTTGCTTTCTCCAAAGCTTCTGCATTAGAATCTCGTTTCTTTAGCCTATTCAATGTAGCAACCTTCTTTTGGTACTCAAACTTCATGAGTTCACCTGCCTGTCAATTGTAATTATAACAAATGAAATTCAGTTAAAAAAGAGTTCCTCCTTCAAGCCACATTGTGGATCTACCTCCATCATAGAAACACAAATTTCTTTAAGATTAAGGTCAAATGTCAAACAAACTAAAATTGTAAACCTCAACATATATGGTGCCTGCCAAGCCTATTTTCCATCTCTTCATAGTTCATAGAGGACATGGTTGTGGCCTCAAGGGTTAGAAGGACAGTGATGGAAGCCCTCAGCAAGAAGCAATTTATAAGGAAAATAAATTCATGAAAAGCCAAATGCTCAATATCATAATATTCTGATCATTATATGACCAAAAATGGAATCTAATATCTTAAACCAGCCGAGAAGCTTTATATCACACACTGACCTGACCAACCAACAAATTTGGTGTCTGGGAGACAAACAAGAGACAGAGAGAGAGTGGGAGGAGAGAAATATCCAGACTCAAGAGAAAGTTACAATCAGGCCCATCCCATTACATTCATGCGTGCAAAACTCAAGGCAGTAACACATCGTTATATTTCTAGAATCATTTCTCATTTAATTTATTAAAAGAAAACCCTCTAACTTTAAACATAATTAAGGATTGAAATCATACGACAGCGAGAGATTTGACCTCACAAATCTAGAAGGACACATGTACAGATAATACATAATACAGAGGAGCAGAACAGAATCCAACTCAAAATAGTTGAAAAATGTCACTCTTTCTAACGGTATGAACTTCCATCGTCATCAGGAGTTAGGCATTGAGTATTGAAATTATATCAAGTCAACGAATATTTCTGAAAATGAAGAACCAAATAAGATGCTTAAAGATTGAGAAAGGAAGAAGACTGTTCCATGTACCTTCACTTCATCATATAGCTTTTTCTCCCATGCCAGTAGTTTGTCTAACACGGTGGCATGAGTTTCTTGCTCTTCTGCATAAAAATCATCTTTTCCATCGTCCATATTAGCCAAACCTCTAAATGATCGGTTCCATGTAATAACACGCATCACTCTGGCAGAGTGGTCAATGTGACCTAAAGAAAAGGGCAAGATACATCAAATTCTTTCCAAGAAAAGGTATAAATATAAGAAATATCTCAAGGAAAGATTAAATATTCCAAACCAAAGCTTCCGCAGCTGCTTTTGAGCATGTTAATATGTTATATTACATAAATCTCAGCAAATGTAATACTAGAACCCAGAATCAAAAGCTTAAACTTCACGGCAAGATCCATACCTTGGTTATCAGCAAAATTGGAGTGATAGTGTAATCGTGTGGCCTCAAGCATCTTGGACACTTCATGGGCACTCTCTGAAGACTTGAGAAAATGATCA